ATGCATTGCGTTCAGAATGAATGCATTGCGTTCAGAATGAACGCATAGCATCAAGAACGAAATGCGTTCCCAATGCATGCATGGCGTTCCTCTTGGAGTATTAGTCGTGAATTTTCCTCAAATGCTACAAGGGACTTATTTTGCCAACATGTCTCATTCAAGGCTATAAATGGAATACCTGAAAAATGAATATGTTACACTATTTCAAAGTTAAAGGATGCAATTGATGATGTTATGGAAAATGAAGAGATGGTGAAGACCGACCATGAAGTTTTTAATGGGTCAGGGTGAGGATAGGTCAGTGACACACCCCCAAACTGGAACGACGGAAACGTTCAGGGGTAGATGGCGTCATATGTAGTATCACAACATTTGCATCATAGTAATCAAAGGAAACACAACCATTACATTGAATATATAAAGAGGTATTTACATGTGTTTGATTCATATTTATATACATGAAAAGAAGCAAACTGAAGACATAACTCTATATGCTCCGTCTTCTCAAAAGTCTGCTGAGGTACATGTCTACTGATTTCTTGAGAATACAAGCGGTTTTGAAAAGAGTATCATGATTAAGCTAGTGAGTTCATAAGAATGCTTTTGTTATGAAATCATGTTACAGAATCAGTGTAAAAGTTTGTATGCTTTCCAAGAAAATCCAATATTTTCTAACATATGTGTTTGTTACAGTGTACCATGAAGTATTAGTTTGAATGCCTGATAACCACCAGATGAATTGTATATATTACAGTTTTGAATGTAGAACCCTTTTGTGTATGAAAACCCTGGATATCGCCAGTATATATATATATATATATATATATATATATATATATATATATATATATATATATGGAAAAAGTGAATATGTGGCTGTCATGTATGTAATAATAGGTATAGAACCATTAAAATTATCTTCATTTTGATTAAAAAACACAATTTTTTTCTGTGTAACTTCTTCATATTGCTTTTGAGCTCATTTTATTCCTAATTTTTCTCCAACATCTATGTATTTCGAATGTGTTGTTTTTACTAGACTTCTAGTAGGATTTATAACTTTCTTTGACACCTACCATATATATACTTGCATGGTTCTTTTTAATGTGTTATGGGAAGAAGTTTATTGCTTTTTAATGAACAATTTTAATCTTTCACTATAACTCTATATATTAAATTTGAATATGAAGATTTATAGGTAGTTCATAATGTATTTTTATACATGGTTTGTGGTGCAAAACAAAATATTTAAAACTCCATAAAAATATGTACAAAGCCTATCATCTACTCCAATAGTGAATATAAGAAAAATGGTAGAGAGATTTGATTACATTTTGTTGAAACTATGTAGTTTTTGATTGTTCTATACCTAATGTTAGGTACATAACAACCACATATTCCCTAAGCCCTATATATATATATATATATATATATATATATATATATATATATATATATATATATATATATATATATATATATATATATATTAATTAAAATAAACTGTGAATTGAAATCCTTGGAATCCTCCAGCTGTATTATGAAATAGTTCTATTAATGAAAATAAAACTAAAGAAGAATGAAATCACATAAACAAAACGTTAGTTTATACTATTGTAAGTCGTATAACCATGCTTGATATGACATAGAGACCTTTACGACGTTCTTCAAGTGTCGGATATATGACATTTATCACCCCAGACATACCTGCCTAACTGTAGCTAGCAGTTCAGGTGTGGGATTTTAAGTCCCCGATAGATCTATTCACAAATCTCGTGCTCTCCCTCCAGGAGACTATGGTTGTACTATGATAGGATTTAGTTCAGTACACCAAAGTGTACAATTTTGTATAATCTAGTTTACGTGCAGTTCTATATTGATCTATTGTATTTGAACCCGTGTGTATACTTTATAGAGTAATAATTATGTAATAAAGTATCCTTGTTATCTGAGAATATCATAAACTAAATTTGTCATAGTTTTTAGGTTCAACAATGTATATGCCCTGAATTTGTAATATTGTATATTGAAACCCCAAACTATATCTATTATAGTTTGCATGAATATTATGCATTTGATTCATGAATTGATTTGAAAACTATATACAATTTGGCAGTAAGTCAAAAATGTCCCTTATGCTCAGCATAACACAAAAGGGATAAAATATCTAAATATTTTATTGAAATGTCGAAACCGTGTGACTAAATACATTGCATCAATTTTAAGTGTTTTGAAATCCTTTTGTATAAATTCAAAAATCATTTGCATTTGGCTTGTATTCTCCCCCTGAAGACATTAAAAATCTTAAAAGTATAGGGGTATGAACTCACAGTTGGTTGCGTGAAATGTCGGACAACGAAAGTAGAAATGAAGACCCTCGGATTGATGTACGCGACACTTAACGGGATCCTAATAACAATTAAATACACATATGTATTTTATTAGTGAAACCATTATTTATAGTGTTGAAAAAACACTTGCTTTTGGTTTAGGAATGTTATGGGGATTTGATTGAATTGGGGAAAGCGGGTTTCTCAGCCAAGTTCAACACTTAGGGAGGGTTTCGGCCGTGAACTATTATCGGCCGTGAATAGCCCCTGGAAGGGTTTACGGTTGTAAACGGTGTTCTTGAAGAAATATGAAGGTTTGAAGGGTTCACAGCCATGAATGAATTACGGCCTTTGAATATTTGAAGGGTTTGCGGCCAGGAACTCAAGAACAACGATGCTTGATCCGATGAAAAATGCATTTTAGATGCTCAACAATAACGCCCAAAGGTGATTCTTAATGATTTTTGGAAGGAAAGAGGGTATTTTGGTGTTTGCGGTTGAGAGGTTAGAGAGAGAATGGAGGATTTTTAGGCCATAAAAAGTGTAAATGAGGGGTAGGAGCACATATTAATAGGGCGTAGGTTCTTGGTCGGTGGTGGGGTCCGCCGGCCGTGAACTAGTTTACGACCGTGATCGGGTTCACGACCATGAACACCAGTCAGGCTGGAACTGCTGATTTTGAAGGAAATTTGGGTTTTCGCGCGATTTTGGTACTAACTCATATATATACATACATATATATATATATATATATATATATATATATATATATATATATATATGTATATATATATACATATATATATATATATATATATATATATATATATATATATATATATAATTCAACTATATATCTTAAATGATTTTCCAAATCATAGGAATTTAAAATTTATTTAACGAAATCGGTTAATGTTGACCGAAAAAGGTTCGGGTTGTCACATCATCCCACCGATAGAGGGAATTGTGTCCCGAAATTCAAACATAGAATACAATCAAGGATTCGAAAAACAAATGTGGGTATTTCAGTTTCATATGATCTTCGCACTCCCAAGTGAATCCTGGTCCCCGCTTGGCATTCCAGCGAACCTTCATTATCGGTATGTGACTTTGTTTCGTTCGTTTGATTTCCCGATCCATGATTTCGACTGGTTATTCCACAAAGTTAAGGTTCTCACTGATCTCGATCTCATCAAGAGGGATTAAAAGGGTTTCGTCGGATAGACACTTTTATGGTTCGACACGTGGAAGACGGGATTAATATTGCTAAGTTCTTGGGGTAAGCGAAGTTTGTATGGTGTTGGACCGATCCTAGCGAGGATCTCGAATGGTCGTATGTATCTCGGATTCAGCTTTCCACGCTTTCCAAAGCGTATCATGCCTTTCCAGGGTGAGACCTTCAATAGAACATGGTCACTAACCATGAACTCCAAGGGTTTTCGTCTCTTATCGGCGTAGATTTTTTGTCTATCTCTTGAAGCCTTTAATCGTTCACGGATTTGTACGATCTTTTATGTGGTTTCACGGATGATTTTTGGGCCAATGAGAGAGCTATTTGGGACTTGACCTCTAGCTAACTACGTGTCACCCACCTCAGCCCAGCACAAAGGGGATCTACCCTTACGGCCATAGAGGGCTTCAAACGACGTAACTTTGATGCTATTGTGATAATTATTGTTGTAAGAGAACTCAACCAAGGACGAAATGGGTGTCCCATGACTTACCAAAATATATGAAGCATTCTCTCAACATGTATTCCAATGTATGAATGGTTCTCTCACCCTGCCCATCGGTTTATGGATGGTAAGTTGTGCTCATATCCAGCTTAGTTCCAAGAGTCTTCTGCAGTGACTACCAAAATCTCGAGGTGAATGTGTTATCCTGACCGGAGATAATGGACACAGGAACACCATGCAAACGAACTATCTCTTAGATGTAGATTTGTGTAAGTCGCTCCATCTTGTATGCTTCTTTGATTGGTAGGAAGTTGGCGGATTTAGTTAGTCGGTCGACAATTACCTAGATGGTATCGTACCCACTCGGAGACTTGAGCAACCTAGTGATGAAATCAATCGTAATCCTTTCCCACTTCCACTCAGGTATTTCTGGCTGCTGAAGCAGACTTGAGGGCTTTTGATATTCCACTTTCACCTTGGCGCATGTCAGACACTTGCCCACGAAAGTAACGATCTTTTCTTTCATGTTTGGCCACCAATAGAGACTTTTGAGATCCAGGTACATCTTATCTGAACCTGGATGAACGGAGTATCTAGTCTTGTGAGCTTCGTTCATGACAACCTGCCTATAACCGCCGAACTTTGGGGTCCAGATCTAATTCATGAAATAGTAAACTTTGTCTCCTCTGATCTCCAAGTTCTTTTCCATTCCCCTCAAGGCTTCACCTGACATGCTCTCTGGTTTTAAGGCTTTCAGCCGAGCCTCTTTGATTTGAGCGGACAGATGGGA